TTTTTTTATGAAGGTATGTTAACCTAGATTTTTCTTCCGGCAGATTGATTGTCGAATTCTGTCGTAATACGCGAACTGATTTAGAAGTCGTCATGCAACGTCGTCGAGCAGAGATAACTCATAATCTCCTGGTGTTTGCAATGCAGCGTACGATTGCGTTTGAGACCAGTCTCTCGAAGATTGCAACAGGCGCGACATTGTTGAAGGAACATGGAGAGTCCGAGGGAAGGGATGAGATGCCCATCAAAGGTGGAGAAACCGCTGAGAAGGAGTCTAGTAACCCATTTGACGAGGATGTGGAAGCCGAAGAACAGAGTACTTTCTGTGCTTGTGATAAGTTTTGTAATAGTGATTCTAATCACTGTGGTTGAGTCAGTTTACTTACAATACTGTTGGCTTTTCGCTATCTGGGTTCTGAAATTTAAAGAAATGCTATTAATGCTCTATTTGTCAGCATTTTGGTAAATTATTATGGTGACTGCACAGTAACGATTCTCGATACTTTACCAATGACCAATACTTTGCATATTCTTCTTAAATGTTACGGTCTCTAATTCCGCATAGTTTTAATTGAACTCTTTGCAATTGAAAGTAACTGGCTGTAATTCTCAAGCATCAATACATGTAGTCTCTAATCTGTACCCTGTTAGTGTTTTCGATTTGTGACTGAATATTTCCTACTTTTTTTGTAGAAAATATCTCTCAGAGGCCCAAATTGCAACAAACTGTGTCTCCATTTGAGGGGATCATTTCGAAGTATGCATAATTACGCATCACAATCGTGGCTATTATGAGTGGTTGATTTTTTTTGTGTTTTGCTTTTCAGTTGCTTTGCTCCATATTTTGACCTCTACTTGAACCACATCGAACGGGCTCTAAACGATCAACTGACTACGCGACTGATAGGCGACTATACCGTGAACAAATCGAGCCTAAAAAGCCGAGCCTTTGGGGATGCCTTTCGAGACGGCGCTGGTTAGTGTCTATAGCCAATATTAGTCCTCTTACTGTCAAGTTTTTCAGTAGCATTATGACACTTATTTGTTTCTTTACAGTTCCGGGAGTTCCAGCGAGTGGAGATTTGGCTGAAAATACACTTTACTCAGCCACTGACTTGTTCCTCCTGTACAAGCAGCTTCTCAAGCAGACACTCCAGCTGACTCGAGGCCAGGGTCTTTTGGGGTTGGTAAAATTGCTTCGGAAGTACCTCAACGAATACACAGAGAAAGTCCTACTGCCAGGCATACCCGGTCATCCTTCCAATTCTTCAACTGGCGGTGTTCTTGCGAAACCTTTTAGTCTCAGCAGTCTTGCCTCATTGAGTTAGTTGACCTGCTTATGTATTTTCGCGCTTTTGGGGCTTGCGTTCTTATACGCATATTAGAGTTGGGGTCGATGCTCCTCATTTTGTTGGATTTAGAATATGCACACTTGATCTAAAGTCGAGGTTTTTATAAAACATCTCAGGTTTGTTCTTTTGTTCCCCCTTAAACCTATTTTTAGTCCAAATTTGCTTTCAACTTTCTCCACTGAAAGGGATTGCTAAATGAGTGCACATTGAGCACTGCTCTACTTGCAGTTGGTCATTTGACTAAGCACAGATAATGCGTCATCATATGGTCAGCATTCGATTTATTTTATAGTTGTAAGTTAGTATAACTATGATTTGGCTCCAACTAATGACGTTAGACGACCTACCGGAGAAACTTGTCTCCACATATGTTAGGTGGTAACGCTCTTTGCTTTTGCTTAATAAAATTGAAAAACAGTAACAGTCATTCATTCATTGTCAGTAACTACATGGTTACTTAATCCTTTTTCTAAGGAATTAAAAGTAAAAGACTGCAACTGTGAGAAAAGGTATATGCACGAAATTGGCGACTCAGTTCGAAATTTTCGGTTCTTCACGAGATTCCTCTGCGTTTTTATGTCAGTGTTCATGATACAGCCATTAATTTAGGCCAAGATAATAATAGTGAGTTGTCGGATTGTCTTGAAATCGTATAATTAGCTGATATCAGCCAGGATTTAGATCACTGACTAGGTATTGATATCCGTTTGGTCTGTTTTTTTTCTCTATGAGGTGGCAAATTTTTCCTTCGACACCGATTTGGCTGTATTTTCATTAAAATCCAGCGATTCGAATTTCCGGGACAAATGATGGTCGCTTGTACACACATTTTGGGTTAACTTATCAGGACAGTTAATAGGTTGTTGAGAAAAAGGCAGACTTGGTGAATGCTAGCTGCACTCCTTGAAAGTTTGCCATC